ACATGCAATACTGCCGAACCACGATGGAAAGAACAACGATTGATGAGACTGGCGCCACGCCTCAAATCTGTTGCCGAATCCCCGAAGACGTCACGCGCACACCTGCAGGACAATCGCCACTCAAAATTAATTCACCAGTCACGATCGAGTACTTGACGGTACTGACCCCATGCTCTTCACAACTGCAGCAGAGATACTCGTGACTCAAACCCGCACTGTACTACTGGTGACTGACTGACGGACGGGCAGTGACTGCTGGCATGCATGTGCTACTGCTCATCTCAGGCCGTTGGACTCCGCACGCGGCTGTGCCCTCGCCCGCGTCTGCACCGGCACCGCGGCAGAGAGACAGCAGGGCGTGCAGCAGCAGGCGCAAAGTGCTGCAGGGCGGCGTGCAGGCTGGACTTGCGACGAGTCAAAGTGATGCTGTGCATGCAGCATGGGGCTGCCCTCACCCTACGCAGATTCCGGCGTGCTGCTCCGAAGCTCGATCGAGAGGTTGGAGAGTGGAACGACCCCTTTGATGGATGCAATGCAGGCCGGCAGAATGTGACTGATAGCGTCCAGAGGTGAGAAGAGCCTTCTTTGCGTTGTCCGGGCAGCAGCAGTCGTGAATCGTGAATGCACAGCTGCACGAAAAGCTCCAGATCGAAATAACGGCGACAACGTAGGGTTCACGACTAACCGGTGCTTGGTTCGCCAAATCTCCATGCCAGACCCGTTTCGAATTCTGATGCGATCCATCATCCTCTGGAGCACCTACTAATTTGCCTTGTGTCGGCCACAAACATTGACCTCTGCTTCTCACAGCATCGTAGCAAGCTAATAAGCCAAAATCCCCGACTTTCCAGCTAACGACACCCTGGTTGCCACGTCCGCCACAGGTCGCACCACGAGCGTCGATCATCTGCGTTTTCTTCAGGGCCGGGGTACAGTCCAGGCGGACCGGCTCCGCATCTTTCGGCAAACGTTTGCGGTAGCTCTCTACCTTGACAAAGAGCACCACCTAGCTTTCGCCGGCCTTTGACGACCATTTCGATCTTGCTGCATACACTGCGCAACGGACTCTCGAAACGCTTTCTGTGCACCGTCCATCGCCCCCGACACCTCTATCATATCCTTCGCTCTTGTATGTCGTCGCTCTGAAGGTCGTAGGCTCCGAACGCTTCCTGGCCCAAATCTTCCCGGCACTTCATACCCCCTCGCCCATCATGAGCGCGATTGCGTCGACGTCTCGACTCCATTTGGACATCCCACGCAGGCGCGCGACACGCAGGCGACACGGAACTCGCAGAGTCATTTTCGCGATCCTGATGGCAGGTCTGTCGCGGGCAGCGGCTGCACCTGCGCCTGATCAATTGGGTCGTCAGCATCACGGAGCTGTTCTGAAGCAAGCACGATCCGAGGTGTGGCTCTTGCGGCGACAGCAGGTTCTCACCGGCTCGGCCACAATTTCAATCGACGACAAGCTCCCTCTAGACTTCATACTGCTCATCGGCGTCGGACTGGGAGTGGCTGTTATGTTGGCCATCTTCGTGATCACTATGAATCGCTGGTCTCGCTCACAAAGCAGGGTCGTCG